AACAGGAGCAGGTGAGGTGGCTCAGTGGGTAAGACCACTTGCCATGCTTGACAACCTGAGTTTACTCCTCCAAACCCACATGGAGGAAGGAGAGAACCAACTCCCACATTGGTGGGGTGTGTGGGGGCAACTGGAGGAGATAAGGAGATTTCTTACAAAGCCGCTGCCCTCCCATATGATGGGTCTTCGGTTATGTCCCACCAACGTGGTACATTTGTTCCAGTTGTTAAGTGTTTTGTTTTGAATATAAAATGTCCCCCACAAGTTCATATGTTGGGGCTTACCACTAGCAGGTTAACCCATTTTGGAAGGTTCTGGAAATGTTAGGAAGTAAGTCCTAAGTAGAAGAACTATGTCACTGGGGGTGGGGAGCCCTTAGGTGCACTCTTGACTGTTTCTATCTCTCTGCTTGCCCCATAAGGTGAGGTGATGCTGTCACATGCTCCTCCAGCCCTCTGAAACCGTGTTAAAATGAGTCTCTACTCTCGTAAGGCATTTCTGTTCTCCCACGTATGTCTGCCACAGGAATGAACAGAGTAACTCGTGCAGTGAACCCCCATTAGCGCACACTGTTGTTTTAGATCTGCAGCTTGAACCAGGACTCACTTTTGGTGTTGTATATGGGTTTTCAAAAGTGCATGCTGCCATGTATATGCTGTGGCAGTATCATACAGAGCACATTCCCTGCCCTGAACATTTTCTGTCTTTTGCCCAAACATCACTTGTATTAAGCACTTTATTTCATTTGGGCTTTGTAGTTTTCCTCACTTAGATCTTGTGTGTGTTTTATTAGATTTCATTCCAAAGTATTTCATTCTGACAGAAGCAAGAGAAAAAGGGATTGTTCCGCATTTCGTATGCACTTTTCTGCACTTTTCCTTGCTTGTGTATGGAAGAGCTGCCGTCCTATACGTAGCCTTGTATCCTGCAGCTTTAACGTAACCACTTACTACTTCCAAGGCTTCGTCTCTGTTTTTGATCCTATCATAATTTGTACACAATTGTGCCATCTGTGAACAAAGACAGTTCCCCTTTCTCCTTCCTAATAGAAATACCTTTTGGTTTTTTCTTGCCTTTTTTTTTTTTTATCAGCTAGCACTTGCAGTATAATGCTGAAAAAGAATGAGAGAGGACATCTTAATTTGTTCCTCATTTTAGTGAAAGCTAGTTCCTCTTTAGTTATGAGGTTAACTCTAGGGTTTTTGTAAACATTCATTCTCCATCAAGCTGAGAAAGTTCTCTTTATATCAGATTTTATCAAGAATAAATAAGTGTTGAATTTTGTCTACAAATATTGATATAATTTTTATGATTTAGACTGCTTATGTAATGGATCACATCAGCCACTTTTTGGATCAGTATGTTAACTTTGTATGTTGAGCCAGTGTGTACTTCTGGGTCCCACTTCACTGTCGTGCATAATTCTTTTTTTTGTTTTTGTTTTTCCATATAAGGTTTCTTTGTAGCTTTTGGAGCCTGTCCTGGAACTAGCTCTTGTAGACCAGGCTGGTCTCGAACTCACAGAGACCCACCTGCCTCTGCCTCCTCAGTACTGGAATTAAAGGTGTGTGCCACCATCACCTGGCTGCATAATTTCTTTAATGCGCTGTAGGATTCAGCTTATCTATTATTTTGTTGAGGATTTTTATATCTGTGGGGATGTTTTGATTTGTGCTTTCTTTTCTTGTCATGTCTTATCTGCTTTGGGTGTCAGAGTGTGCTGGTTTTATATGAGGTGGTAAGAACATTCTCTTCACTTTTGTCTTCTAAAAGGGATTGTAGAGATTTCATGAATTTTGTCCCTTGAAATGTTTGTAGTATTTACTATATGGGCCTGAGGTTTTCTGTTTTGCAATGTTATTAAGTATTGATTTAATTTCTTTCATAGACACACTTATTCATTTTTTCTTTTTCTTTCTGTATAAGTCATGGGAAGGCTGTTTTCCTAGTAATTGGTCCATTGTAGCACAAATTCTAATTATTCTAATTGTTCTTAATAATAAAAACCCAGAGTCAGATATAGGGGTTAATGTGGTGCCAATAATTGAACCCAAAGTCTCAGGCACAGTAGGTAGGCACACTATCAACTGAACTATACCCCGAGACCTTGTCCCCCTAAATCTCCTTCTTTTTTCTTATATCAATTACCTTTTACAAAAACATTTTTAAATTACCTTCACCTAATTACTTGAATTACACACTTTAATCACACACACCGAGGATCCTTCTCTGATGTTCTTTCATTCCCTAGTAGGTCTGTCTGTCTGTGGACTCTGCCCTTTTCTTGTCTCTGAAGATCTTTTAACAATTCATGCAAGGCAGTCAAGAAATTTCCTCAGGTTTTGTTCATCTGAGAAATCTTTATTTCTTTTCCCCTTTTTTTTAAGAAACGGAATCTTGAATGTTGACCAGGCTGGTCTCATACTCCTGGACTCAAGTCATCCTTCACCTGCCTTAGCCTTCTGCGGCTGGGTCTCCAGGAATATAACCGCTGTACCCACTTTCTTCACTTTGGAAGGTCCCCTTCCCAGAATTCTAGACTAGTTTTTCTCTCCCTTTCAACATATTAAATATTTCACTCTACTCTCTTTTTCATTTGCGTGGCTTTAGAAAAATTCAATATAATAATTCCTGGTTTTGTTCCTGAATAGATAAGGCTCTTTATCCTCTTTTCAAGTTTTTTTTTTAATTTTCTGAAGTTTAAATATACTAGGTCTATCTTTTGTTACTGTTGCTGTTTATTTCCTCATTACTATTCATTCCCTTTTCTTGTAGATCAGGTTGGCCTCCAACTCACAGAGATCTGTCTGCCTCTGTCCCCCAAGTGTTGGGATTAAAGGCGTGTGCCACCACCGCCCGGCTTCATTCCCTTTTCTGTCTCAGATGGGTTGTACTGGTTTTGAAAGGAACTCTGGGAAAGAGGCCATTCATGCATGCAGATGTGTACATATTGGAAGCAAATAATCAGTAGCAATCTTGTCACTGAGCTATGATCATACATTGCTTCTTAGACAGGATGGCTGTAGCTGAGTGTCTCCCTTATCCATGTTCTTGGACACTGGGAAACTTCTTTAGGTGAGACACTGGAAAAATACTAAATACTAAAACTCAAGAACACAGGAAGAGCCGGGCAGTGGTGGCGCACGCCTTTAATCCCAGCACTCAGGAGGTAAAGGCAGGCAGATCTCTGTGAGTTTGAGAACAGCCTGGTCTACAAAGCGAGTTCCAGGACAGCTGGAACTACACAGAGGAACCCTGTCTTGGAAAAACAACAAGTCCTGGCCTTGGTATTTCAAGGCTGCTCTTCCCTAGAAGTGTCAGATTTCTTTTTCTTCTAGGGCACTGGTTCTCAACCTTCCTAATGCTGTGACCCTTTAATACAGTTCCTCAAGTTGTGGTGACCCCAACCATAAAATGATTTTCATCGCTACTTCATAACTGTAATTTTGCTCCTGTTATGATCATGATGTAAATATCTGTATTTTCTGATGGTCGTAGGCAATCCCTGTGAAAGGGTCATTTGACCCCCAAAGGGGTACTGACCAGCAAGTTGAGAACCACTGCTCTCTAGTCCTTGAGAAAAGCTAGAAGAGTTCCTGGACAGGAAGTAATGAAAATTTCCCCACTCTGCTCCACCGACTGGGACTTACTGTCGTCTTCAGTGCTCAGGCTGGCTCTACACTTTGTGCTAGCAAGTCCTCAGTTATAGTCTAGGCTTTCTTACCCTGCTTCTTGGCGCGCTTTCTTTTACAGTTTCTCTGATAAATTGTAATTCTCTGTTTCTACATTTTTGATGTGTCTGTGTGGGCATAGTTTTCCCTGTGACCCCCTTGCTTTAAGGGATCCAAGAATACTTGCTGATTTTTCAATTTGTTGAGAGTTTTACTTGCTGAGATGAAGTGATGACTTCCCAGCTCTTTACACACTGGAGACAAACTGCTAATCAACACAATTCAAGGGGTTAAAATACTAAATTTTATCATATTTTTTAAAATTCTAAAATAGATAAATAAGGAGTTGGTAAATGAGGAACAGATATAAGGAGCAAGATGATTTTTTTCAAATGTTTGCAGAATACCTCTTCTCATTTATGCCACCATTACGTCAAATTCAACATATCTGGAATCCTTTAACTTACTGTATTGGTTGCTTTTGCATTACTGTAGCCATAACACCTGGCAGAAGCATTTTAAGTTAGGATTTCTTTTAGCTTATGGTTTTAGAGGGTTTCAGACTGTGGTAAGGAAGGCATGGCAGCAGGAACATGTGGCAGAGGCTGTTCATATCATTGCTAGCTAGAGAGCATAGAAAGAGAATTAGGAATTGGGGATCAGGTATAACCTTCCAAGGCTCATTCCTATTGATGTATTTCAGCTAGCCATACCCTCCTTTGTAAGGTCCCACAGCATCTCAGAATAGTGCACCTGGGGAATGCACAATTAGGAACCCAAATTAGGAACCTTGGAAGACATCTCAAACCACAGCACTTACCTGACTTCCTGTGTTCTTCTTTGTTGTTGTTAGTGTTGTTGTTTTTCCAAGACAGGGTTCCTCTGTGTAGTTCCAGCTGTCCTGGAACTCGCTTTGTAGACCAGGCTTTTCTCAAACTCAGAGATCCGCCTGCCTTTACCTCCTGAGTGCTGGGATTAAAGGCATGCGCCACCACTGCCCGGCTCTTCCTGTGTTCTTGAGTTTTAGTATACATAATATATTTCTGTTAGCTACTTATGTACCAAACCTTAGCTCATCTTTGACCACTATTTACAGTCTTACCAGTTGCCTTGACGTGTCTATTATGCGTCCATTGCTTAGTTACATATCTGTTTTCCCTTCTCTGTCTCTCTTGCCCCTTCCATAGTTCATCACCACTTCCCAGAATCCTGCGATTGTGTCCTAACATCTCCTTAAAAGTCAGATTTGGAATCAGAATAGCCTGAAATTAAGTCACGGCTCTGCCCTTGTAGCCACCTGACCTTGAGAATAGTACATTTGTCTCTCAGCTGCAGGCCTCATCTGCCAAACTGAGGCAGTAACACTCAACTCAGGAGATGGCTGCGAGGACTGAAGACACCTGGGCCAGCACTGTGTCGTAAGTGCACTCTTACTTCTTTTCTGTTTTGTTTTTTGTTTTTCGAGATAGGGTTTCTCTGTGTAACAGCCCTAGCTGTCCTGGAACTCACTGTTACTTTTATTAAACAAGATAATCTATGTCATGTCCTTGGTAGTCTGCTGGTGCAAAGTAAGTACTTAGCTTTTTGATGACTGTTTTATATTATTATTCTTTACCTTGGTCCCATTTAATTCTACTGATCATTGTGAGCATGTCTGCTACTTGTTCTGCATCTTGTGGAGTCCCTCTTACCTGTTGAAGAAGCTCTAAGTCCTTTCCCGGGCATCCAGAGCTGTACCTAGTTGCTCCCTTCTCTTTAGAGCTTCCCTCCTCACTGTGCCCTTACACAGCCTTGTTGTTTTAGTCCTCTGTAGATTATTCAGTTTCTTCCCTTTCCCTGGCCTCTCCCTGGAATGCTCTTCCTCCTTCCATGTTGCTCAGTAAATATTTGCTGAGTAACGAGATTGTGTTCTTTGGAAAAGCGTTCAGCGAAGCCAGTCGCATCCAACCATATGCTCCTCCTGTGATGGAGACACACAGGGAAAGTTATGTTTATTTCTGCCCTGACTCTCTGCAGGGGAGGCATGTATACAAAAGGAGAAATTTTAGAGAAGTCTTTCCTGTTCTACCACCTCCTCCTGAATAGCAAGGCCGGATCATGTTGATGCCAAGAAGTGTTGCTGCTAGACTCTGCTGTGTCAAGTGAGCCCTCAGTCTAGGGCACACTGGTGGTCAGAGCACATCTAGGAGCCTCTGGCTGGAGTCGAGGACAGCTGCAGCATCAGCAAGCATCACACAGGAATTCAGAATCAGCTTCTAAATTTTGGTATGGTAGAAAAAGAATCCATGACTAAGATGAGCTTGTCCGCTAGGAGCAAGGATGAAAGGGGCAGCAGCAGGACGAAGCTCTGGCCAGTAGGGCCTGGGGGGTATCTCCGTTTCTCATAGTTTTGAGAACGTATGGTATGAGAAAGTAAACAGCTGACAGGGGCTAGGAAAAGGCAAACCAGCGGAATTCTCTGTTTACGTGATACCCAGGCCTAATGAAGTCCTCCAAAAGGCAGCTTTCCCAACGACACAGAGGACTTTCTCCTTGAGGGCTTTTTCCTGGGAAAATATGAGTATGTGTCTTCTCACTCTAGGTGGGGCTCCAGTGACAGAGCGAAGGAACAAATCTACCCTAGTCTAGCTTGGTGAACCAAGAACTTACTGAGTTATTTAAAGAAGCACAGTCTCCCCCCAGTATGGAGGATGGTTACCCCATTGATGTTTAAGTTTCTCTCCTGCCCTTTCACCCTCTGTGTACTCAAAGAGCCCTCTGAAACTTTGTAAACGTGGGCAGAAATACATACAACAAGAAGGGGCAATCCAGGAAGGAATGTCTGGAATCTCAGATGGGGGCTTACAGCTCTCAGTCCTTTCCTCTAGGAGGGACTGTCACCAGGCCTCATCTTGAGGGTCTCTTGCAGGTAGTCACAGCTCATCTGACTAAGACCGTAGTTGCTATTATGTTCAGCGGGTAGAGCTCTGCCTCCACTGCTGAATGCAGTGGTTCAGGTGCAGACTTTCCTCTGAGCACTGGGTCCCCATCCAGAACTACATCTGGCTTTCTTGTTGAAAATGCCAAGACATGTTGGCAACAATAGGAGTGATAATCGTAGGAGCCGACGAACCGGCTTACGCAGCCTTGTAATCCATCAACATCTTAGCCTATCTTAATTTACAATCTAAGTCGTTAAAAGGCTTTAATTTAGTTTAATTCCCACAATATTCCCAGCTTCTCATTTGTTCAGAACAAGAGATGTGGTAAGCCTGAAATGCACTCTGAGATCAGAAGGATTGGGCGGCTTTGAAGTCTTTTCAGCACTGCTAGCTCTGTGACTTTGGGACTCAGAGACACTCTAAAGTTCAGTTTCCCCGTTTTGATAAGTGGGGTAACAGTACTGATGGTTAGTTGTAAACATTTTATGTAAAATGTGTGTGGCACACCTGACAGAATTGGCAGTCATTATGAATGACTATTGCCACCATGATTTCTGAAGGTCACCAAACCACTCTATTCTCTGTCTAAAATTTCTTCTTCAAGGTCATTCAACTATAAATGTAAGAGTGCTTCAACCTCTACTTCCTACCTCATAATAACTATGTTGTTATGAATAATAACAGTAACTATGAATAATCGTAGTGTAGAACTCAGCTGTAGCCTTATCCCGTGTCCTGTGGTGGGACCTCCCAGTTGCTATCACCCTTCACCCTCCTGTGTATTTCTGATTTGCAGTGCAAGAAACTGAGGCTCAGAAAAGAGAAGGGACTTGCACAAAGCAAGGGCAGAGTCGGAATCACAACTTTGGTCATTGATTGCCAAAGCACATGCTCTTTCTAATTACCTACTTTTTTGGTTTTGTTTTTTTGAGACAGAGTTTCTCTGTGTAACCACCCTGGCTGTCCTGGAACTAACTTTGTAGACCTTAAACTCAGAGAGAGCAAACTGCTTCTGCCTCCCCAGTACTGGGGTCAAAAACATGTACCACCCCCCCCAACCCTGGCCTCTTTTTACCTACATTTTTCCTCAGAGGAGAGAGCGCTCTCTTTTCTGAGCACAGTGAGCAGACACATTAGTTTCTTCCTAAGATGGTTAGACTTTTCACTTAGTCTGCCACTGTAAATGCACTTCTTTCTTTCATTCGTTTGTTCACTTGCTCAGCAAATGCTTACTGGGTGTGTAGTACGTGCTGGGGATCTTAAAATGGTTAAGACAGCCTGTATCTTCAAAGAGCTCATTCTCTGTGGAGAAGATAGACACATATATAGGAAAGTGGGGACTCAGGAACTAGGGGACCCAGAGTTCAGAATGGCGGTGTTGAGTGGAGGTGTGACCATATCGGGTAAGGCTTTCAAAGGAGACAGTTTGAGTTGATTCATTATATCAGTCAAATAGAAATGTGCTTTAAGTTTAAGCAACTTTTCTGTTATGGGTTATAGGCAAAGCCCAAGTCTAAACTGAGACATAGTCTCTTCCAGTCTATGCCCTTAAGGATTTATAGTCCAGCCAGGAGAGAAGGCCCATAATTAGTCAAATGCCATTAAAATTGTATGGAGATTATGCCGGAAGAATGTAAGAGCACTTTGGTGGTGAGGGTGGTTGGGTGAATGGGCAGCCATTGAGGAAGTGGTTAATTCTATAGGGCAAAGGTTCTTCTGGAAGTCCAGTTTACTTTAAATATGTTCTTGTCTATTCATTCCTGTCTTGCTGGACTTTTTTCCTCTTTAAATACTCTGAGGATGTCTCACAGACCATGCCAAGTAAAAATAGCATATGTAAAGCTACATTGTATTTTACAGCATTTTCCTGGGAAAGAAGCTATAATTTAAACAATAATACATCAACATAGGATGATGTCTCCATAATTAACAGCATCTTGGTAAAACTAAGGAGATGAGTGCATTACCAATCACATTCAAACTGTATATTACTTGACCACTATTGCCCTCTATGAGGTGTACAGTAGCTTAGCATCAAGTTTAGCTCTCCGATTGCATGATTCATTTCTCAGACTTCGCAAACCTCAGACCCAGTATGTAACAGTAGGTTTAGGAAGAGGTCAGAAACTTAGAATACAGCAAATGAATATTGTAATACTAACTATACATTGCACGTCTGTATTTTATCATCATTTTGCACTGCACTAGGGTGATGGTTAAGTGAGGACCACAACTGCACTGATGATTTCCACAGGACTTGAGATCTGGCTTCCTCACCCACTGAGCAGGGCAATGCATCTCACAAGGATTACAAAGCTATTGTCCTATGGGACACATGTCAACAGAGACTGCAATGAAATCCTCTCCTCCATACTCCTATGGTAGGAAGGGCTGATCATTGCCTCTATCCACATCAGATCTTAGAGAACCTTCAGCAGGGTGTAGCAATCAAATGACACAAGGCAGTTTGTCTGGCAGAATGCACACATGTTTTATCAATGGGATTCTCATAAAGAAGGAAAGATCCAAAGCTCTAAGGTTTTTCATACAAAAAATAAATTTATAAAGAAATTGCAGGGCTGAATGACCTGATCTAGAGGCAGTAAATTCTAGGGTGGTTACTGAGAGAGCTGTGGTGGGAGGTATGAAGCTGGGGAAAGTAAGAGTTACTTTACTGAGTGTGTTAGTTTATTGCTGCAGCATTCCCAGTCTTGTAATAAACTCTGTTTGTTTGTTTGTTTGGTCTGGGAACAGAGATGACGCCTCTCCCAAAGGAATCGTTTTAGCCTGGTGCAAGCATGGGAAGGAGGGCTGGCTAGCACTTTCTGCAGTGACAGCTTGTGCAGCGACATCAGTAACCAATGCGCCAGTCCAGCCCATTTGGGGGTGTCTTGTTTGTAACCCCTTCACCACAATTGCCCACCTTTGACATTCAGTTCACTGAGCAACGTCTGCTCATGACACTGGTCCACTTGATGAGGTGACAGCTTGATATTTTCCTCCTTTCTTGGCTTTACTTTTATTTTCCCTTCACTCTTGTTATCTTAGGATTGTGTTCACTCAATAAATCATTAGCATCTAAGCTTTATTTCTTAGAGAGTCTGAGCCAAGATCATAAATATAGAACTATCATGAAACCACATAGAAAGACCAAAACTCTATTTTAAAAAAACTGGAAGAGATGAGCAGTTTATGAGGGAAAAACTAACTATAAATGTAAATTGCTCTTAAAACTGGGAAAAGGTCAGGCGGTGGTGGCGCACGCCTTTAATCCCAGCACTCAGGAGCCAGAGGCAGGAGGATCTCTGAGTTCTAGGCCAGCCTGGTCTACAGAGCTAGTTCCAGGACAGCTAGGACTGTTACACAGAGAAACCCTGTCTCAAAAACAAACAAACAAACAAACAAACAAAACAAAACCCAAACCAAAAAAAAAAAAAAAACCAAAAAACAAAAACCCTGGGAAAAGATGTTCAGTGGCACTCCTAATAGGAATCGTA